ATTTTGTTTTGTTTTTAAGGTTAATTTAAAATGTATTATTTTCTTTTAAAATAGTCAAAAATGCTTCCTCACATTTGGTATTGAGTTTACATACAAAATAAAAATAAATAATTTTACAGAAAGAGTCTTATTTAAGTGATATTTATGAATGGTTTAGACCACAACATGCACACATCCTCTTTTCAGAATTCACATTATTTAATTTTATATATTTTTTGTACAGCCCTCGGACTTTACAAAGCTATTTCATTCTTCTTATTTTTTTCTTTCTTTTGAAGGACAAGTTAGATGTTTTACCTTGTTAACATGTTTCGGCTGCAGAGCTGTGAGCCATCTCTTTACAAAGCTGTCGATTCGCCAACACAGATCAGACACTCTGTTCAATCACAGGAAATGCACTGATAAGAAACACATAGAGCCATTTGTCCATCAGGGGCAGATGACCAATGACCATAAATGTCGCTGAATGTCGAGTGTGCTGAATCATCCCCGCTGACCCCAGACCCTCCTGCATCTGCAACTGTGAGAAAACATTGAGTCGGTTTCTTACTGAGAGCTGATTGGCTGAGGGAGGGTGGTCTTCTCTTTTTCACTGTAAAAGCTAAAGTATTGACAGAGGACATAGATACAAGAATGTGACAACTAGTAATAGAACTAAACTAGTCCCATGGATTTGAATACATGGGTTTTTTTTTTCTGGTTTTAAATGAGTTGCTCCAGCTTTTAACCAATCCAGAGGAACGGTGCAGACTGCCTCGGCTCGTCCGTACAGCTCACAGGATCCTCCGGGGGGCGCCGTGTGAAGCAGGACGTACAAGACAGGGACTATAGCAGCGCTAATCTTAGTTTGGCAAATATTCGGATTCAAAGGCTGTAGTAATATTCTGTGTGTGTGACTTTAGTTCCATCACAAAGAGCTGATACGTGCCCTTTAAAAGTTCTCTGATGGGAACATGAAAAATGGCTGTTTGGAAGTGTTTACAGTGAGTGTGTAATTGTGAGGCCTGATTTCCCTCGAGTCTGCTGCAGATTCGGCTCCAGGGCCCAGGAGGTTGTGGGTAATCGAGCTGTTGGCTTCACCATGGTTGTAAAAAGCATTCGTCATGTTTAAAACAACCATTTAGTTATTGCTGTCTATCCATACGCGGCCATGATACATCACTGTAATGTGTCTTTGAAAGCAGGAGGCATTTGGACGACACAAAGCAGTATATCTCGTTAAAGATTTACTAATGAGCTGCTAATGGAGGATGAAAACTCCAGGCCCCGTAATATTTCACCCTCTGTGATCTTTTTCATTTGTGTAATTATAATGATGTTGTTCCAATGGCTTTTGTTAAGTGTTTAAGTGCGGCACATCCTGCGTGTACAGTTGAGTGTGATCATGTAAACATGGAGCAGTGTGTGTAGGTGAAGAAGAGTTAATAATAACAATAAAACAGTAGCTCAGTAGAGCATTGGCCTTTGAGCCAAACTTTCACCATCGACTTCTGTTGTCGTTGTGTCCTTGGCAAGACACTTAACCTCTGGGAACACCAGGTGCCACAGTGGGGCAGCTGTGGCTATAAAGTGCCTTAGGCACTGCTGTTGTGTCCTTAGGCAAGACACTTTACCCCTATTGCCTAGAATGAGTCTGGTGTGTGTGTGAATGGTTGGTGGTGGTCGGAGGGGCCGATGGCACATACTGGTTGCCTCGCTTCTGTCAGTGTGCCCCAGGGCAGCTGTGGCTACAGTTGTAGTTTATCACCACCGTGTTTGATGTGAAAGAAAAATGACATGTGAAGAATCTTTGAGTGTTCAAAAAAGCGCTTTATAAAACCGATGCGTTATTTTTATTTATTTATTATTATTTATGTATTATTATTTATTAGTTACATGTACATACAGGACAGTTACATGTATATACTGGGCAGTTACATGTAGATACAGGGCAGTTACATACAGGGCATACAGGGCAGTTACATGTATGTCTTTTGAATGCTCACTTTGGGCTCAGAGACGTTTTTAGACTGAGAGCTGATGGAGGGTGGTCCGCTCTTTTTCACTTTACTCTCTGAAAAAGCTGATCTGACCAAAAATACATCCATGTGAAAACTATTGATAGAACCAAACTGAGAATATAATAATCTCACATATTGTATTTTTGAAACATTTACAAAAGGTTAGAGGAAACGCTGTGTGGGAATTTCACCAGGTCCTTTTATATAATAATTGATTCATGTTAATGCTTTGTTCATTTGAAGCAGTCCCTGACCACTGCACTTCCTCTGTGTCCCGTCTGCACTTTCAAACAGACTCTTGTATTTATCTGAGAGCTGCGTGGTCCCTCCGGAGCACCATGACTCACCAAACCAAAGCCCTTTATTTTCCACTGCACTCCGAGTCCACTTCAGGAAATCACTTTCACAGCTTCAGGGAGGTGGGCTCTGGAGTCAGTATTGGATTTTCAATACTTCCAAATGAACAAACTTCATATCCTGGACCTGTTTCATGACTTTTCAGGACAAAAGGTTCTGTTTTACTTCTGATCCGGGTTCAGGGTTTAATGTGTGATAGTCTTTTTCTCTCCAGCTTTAGTCAAAACTTGCTCTACTCTACAGCCTGAGTCCCGGGTGTGCGCCTCCCTGATGTGTATCACTCTTTTTCCCACTGGCCTTTTTTTAGTCGTTACTTACTGCTTACTGCTGTATGAGGATCTGGCAAAATTATGGGCATTTATTCAAACATTAGTCATTGGACCAATGTTTGGGCACCACATAAAAAAGAAACAGAAACATACTTTATGAAATACAATAAAAGTGCAGAAATGCAATATCGTGTCAGGAGCAGTGGTTGCCGGAGTTCAGCGCCCGGGAATCCATCTCCAGATGTTGATGCTTGGCTTGGTCAGGACCGGAGCAGGATGGTTTTGCCTATTGTACATGTTTTTTTAGTGGTAGAGGAACCTGGAGTACCCGGAGGAAACCCACACAGACATGGGAGAACATGCAAACTCCACTCAGAAAGGCTCTGTGCTGCCTGGGATTCAAACCCAGGATATTCCTGCTGAGAAGCCGCCTGCCCGAAACTAGTTTTTGTTATATTGCCTTTTTGATTCTCTGATCTGTTATTTTTAATCGACACGTTTGTATTGTCCACCGAGACGACTGCGGTGATTCAGGGCCATACAAAAACACATTGAATTGAACTTTACTTTCTGTTTCTCGTTGATTGCATATTTGTGTCTGTTTTGACCAGTAGCTGTTTTATTTCTAATCTGCTTTTGTCAAATCAAGTTTTTAAGTCCCTGGAGACAACAGCTGCCTTTTTCTCCTGGTTTAAAAAACCACGGCCACATTTTACATGAAACAAACAACTGTGACAAAGAAGTGGACAGTTTTAGTTTTATGTGAATTGACCTGTGATTCCTGAGCAGAGAAATGAGCTCTAAACTAAGACTAGAAAGTAATGTGTGTCAGACAAATCCAACTATAGTTTTCTGCAGCTCAATTTCAGATTATTTTTTACCTATAATCCAAAACAAACAAAAGGTTACTTTGCAAATACAATTGTCCTGAAATGAAGCAGCGCACGGACAACCTTTGACATGGAACTGATTTTATGTATCTGTGTGTAACTTTTTAGTTCTCTCGTCCAGGACTCTCTTAGGACTTTCCTGGTTAAATAAAAGTTGAATAAAAGGTTAAATAAAGTCAAGTAAGAATATTAAAACCTCACATTCTGTATCTACGTCACATGATGTTACTAAGACATGTCACTGTTAAATAGCAGTTTTATTTTATTTATGTATTTATTGAAGGTAACATGATTTCACTTTTACCAACTCTATAAACAAACAACAGTGAAATCTTTCATTTTCATCATTACATGTCCAGTGGGTCCAGTGACGCAGTGACAGGTCTGGCCTTTCCACGTGCCATAACTTCTCCATCATAAGGGCTATTAAAGGGCCCGTATATACGCAATATTGATTGTTGTTCCACAGTGATGTTTTCTGTGTGTGAAAAGCAGATTTCATCGGTGGCGGAGCATACAGGAGCAGCTCCATCTGGTGGGACTGGATACTGACGTGGAGAGACTTGGCTCGATTATGAGTTGTTTCAAAAGCATCAAACCAGAGGTGTCCTTTGGCCTTTTCCTACTGAGCAAAAATAAACATTTAATCAAAACCCCAAACACCCCATTTTTCCAAAGCAAGTTCATTGTGAGCACTTCAATACAATTTCAATTCAATGTATTTTTGTATGGCCCTATATCGCAAAAGCAGTCGTCTCAGAGGACATGAAAGTTGACCATTCACCAACAACAGATCAGAGAATCACACAGTTTGGATATTGGAAATGCAATAGAAGCCATTGGTCCATCGGGAGCGAGATGACCACTGTCCAGAAATGTTAATAAATATCCAGCATCTTCACTGGCCGTAGATCAAATATGGCGGTACCTTAGACAGCAATACAGTAGAACCAAACTGTGTTATTGGCTGTCACGTGCTGCTCTTTCCTGTATACAAATATTTATTATCATCTACATTGCTCCACGTGGAGGATAAACTTGCCATGGTGCATTCTTATTCTCTCATTGTGAGGTGTTGACCCTTTTACTCTGACACGTTGCCGTGGTGAAAAGCCGACACTGGTTCAAACAACACCCCTCCGTTTCCCTCTGTTGTCTGGGGTCGACACAGCATTGTATGTGTGCATTGTGAAAACGCTTTTAACGCTTTGTTTTCTATAACTTGCACTTTGTGCTTTTTTCTTATTCCAAATCTCTCTGTCTCTCTCCAGACTCTGAGGACCACATCTCGCCCTCGCCCCCCGCCATCGCTGGACCTCGGCTCGACCCTCTTCCAATGAGCTGATGGAGAACGCACCTCCCTCCAGATAAGATGCTTTCGCTGCGCTCTCCGCTGCCTCCCCTCCGGCCCACCACCTCCACCATCACCTCCACCTCCACCACCTCCTCACATCCTCATCTGCGCCTCACTCCTCTCCTCCAACATGGTGGATGAAGTCACCAACATGAAGGATGACGTCATCAACGCCAACACGCTGGCCTGGCTGGTCTGCTCAGGCGTGTCCATCCTGGCCAACACCTGGAGCATCCTGAGCGTCAGTGCGAAGCAGAAGAAGTGGAAGCCGCTGGAGTTCCTCATCTGCACGTTGGCCGGGACGCACATCCTCAACATGGCCATCCCCATCACCATGTACTGCGTGATCACCCTCCGCCGTCAGCATTCCAACTACGAGTGGAACGAGGGGCTATGCAAGGTCTTCGTGTCCACGTTCTACACTCTGACGCTGGTTACGTGCTTCTCCGTCACGTCCCTGTCCTATCACCGCATGTGGATGGTGCGCTGGCCCGTCAACTACAGGTGAGAGGGAATTATATGGCGTCTCTTTCAGGGTTTTGAGGGGTTTTTATACGGCACAAGAGTCGTCATTATTAACACAGGTGTGACGGGATTTCCACACAATAGTAGTGTCCTAGACCGAGGAGAGAGAGAGGATTCCACCGACTGCCGCTTCGAGCTGCAGGGGACAGGCAAAAGTGAGAGAGCTCTGATTCAGATTCAGATGCATTTTTTTGCCATTTGCAGTAAAACCACACTGGAATACATTTGCAAAAGTCCCCAGTGTGCACAAGACAAGTACATGAATAAAACAAGGTAAAAAGAACAGGAATAAAACAAGTCAGAAAAAAATTGTCACTGTGAAACTGATCAACAAAAACTGTTTTTATACAAGTGCAAGATCTTTAACCTCTTTACTAACACCGGCGCGCCGGCGGCCGTTTTTATGTTTTTAAATGTTCTGCTGGCAATAGCAGATGTATTTTGAACACCAAACCCCAAAAGCTGTATATCATTTTAAAGCTTATTTTCTTATCTACATTTATATACAAGTGTAAACTACATCAAACTTTGCATTCAAAAGATATAACACATAATGTGGGCACAAAATAAATCAATTCCAAAATAGTTTTTTACCTTTGGGCTTGTGCTGTACAAATAAATCAGCTCTCCTCCCAGCTTGCAATACATCATTCTCTCTGGAACAGTCCAAAGGAAAATTATATCCACTTGTATTTCCCAAAGTAAAATCCATTCTGCAGAAATAATCCAAAAATGTGCATTTATCTTTAGCGAAAAAAACGAAAAAAAAGAGCACAGATGTTACTCTTTCACTTTTAAAGGACTTTTAGCTTTGTTTTTCACCCAAACATCTGGTATCCACGTGTTCCTTAGCTCCTTATCTTTCAAATGAGACTACTCCCGAAAAGCTAGACCAATTTTTGGGTCTGCAAGAGCTACCGCGAGTTCAGCTAGTGCTGCTGTTTGCGCATTGATCACTGATCTTTGTTGTGATCCCAACTTGTTTGCTTTTACTTCCGGGATTTACGATTGACATGTCCTTGTAGCCAATGAGGAAAGCTTTCGAACAAGGGGTGGGACAATGGTGTCCTGTCTTATGTTGGGCCTGGACAATTGTGCGTAATGGAAGCTAAAAGACGCTCTCGAAGCTGCAATGAATTTACACTCATAAAAAAATAACTTTGACATTTAAAAAAGAAAAACACACATAGATTAGTAACTTATAAGTACCAATAATAAAAAATATTGTTTTTATGATGATTAAATGTAAGTAAAGATATTTGGCACAATTTGGCACACTTGTGCCAAATTGTGCCAAATGTGCACTACTTGATGAAAAGGAGAAACTGAATAAAAACTATAAAACTTTAGACAGTTGTTGTCAACAACACAATGAACAGAGGGTTTGAATATTGTGAACTTACAATGAAGTATGCCTTTTTTAGGGCCTTTAGAAATTGAAAATGTTAGGCGAGGCTAAAAAAATTGGGTTTTTTTCCCTAACTTCAAAGGATGCAGAGGAAAATAGGAATGACAAACATTATTTTAGTGTTTTTTTACATAAACTAGAAGGCTCTAGCTTTAAAATGATGCATCACACAAGCATGTGACATGTAAGATGTGTTTTTAAATAAGCAAAGACATTTGGGTATGCCCAACCATTGTGCACGAGCCAAAATGAGGCGGATGTTAAGAGGTTAGTGCTTTGTTTAAACTGATAAAGAAGCTGTTAGCAAAGCGAGATATACTGCATCTCAACGTACAATGTTATCCTGCCAGAGGGAAGAAGCTGAAACACAGGGCCAGAAGAGTCGTAGATTATTTAAATGGCTTGGTTTCATAAAGAGTCTGGGTTCATAAAGAACCTCCAGAACAGGCCACTCACAGCTCACAGTCCTCTTTCAGAGCGGAGCACCGTGAGCTCTGAAATATCACAGCGCAGGAGCCTTGTTCTCCCGCTCTCATATCTTAAACCTATCTTTTTTTCTTGTGTGAGAAATAAGAATGAGAAAAGTTAATATATTTCTGTAATTCAACTTAGAATATTAAAACAATATATGATACAGACGTATTACCTGCAGAGGGACTTATGCCTTTGTTTGTTGTAATGTTGATGATTGTGGCTCGGAGTCTTATTTCTGAGATGTTTTATCAGGGGTTTTTGCGGCTAACATTTGAAGTAAGTAAGTAAGTAAGTAAGCTTTTTATTTATATACCGCCTTTTCACTGCACATCGGAGTCTCAAAGCGGTTTACAATTGTTATTTTTTTTTTGAAGACCAACTTCATGACGCCCACTGAAGTCTGCTGTTGTTGTGTCCCTGGGCAAGACACTTAAGCCTGCTTTGCCTGAAGCCCCGCTGAAAGATCAAGGCTATGCTGTCCTTGACACATTAGCCATCCTCCTGTGGACTCATGCAGGAGGATCAGTGAGGGGCTGGTGCTCTGTGAATTCGGTGAATTGCCAACCCCTCCCAGCCCTAAATCACAACAGTAGTTATCATGGAGGACAACAGACCCTCCCGCATCAGTAAGGAACAACTCTGAAACTCTACTTAATTTAATCTATTTTACAGGGTCATATGGTCAAACATCTACATTTCTATAAAACATAAATGCAATTGAAGTTGGAGACATCACTTTTAAACCTTGTGTTGGGGCTGCCTTCACTTCCAGCCGCTCGTTGCTCCTCGGCACAAGTGGTCCTGACAAAGTGGCTCTGAATGATGATGCGTCCCGGGTCTCAGTGGTCGCCCGCACCCTGCCGCATTCACACAGTTTAGCTCCTGTTAGACCCTCACCCCCCACTAGCCCCCCGCCATCACGTCTAATCAGATGTTCCACCAACAAGACAAAGCTATTTATGTCCCGGGCCAGCCATCTTTCCGTCCCTCGTACAGCACAATCAGTTCTTTCTGATAAGTAAATCCCCAAATACATGTTTTTTTTGTGTGTGTGTGTGTGTGTGTGTGTATATACAGTATATCATAACAGATTATAATAGACTGGATTATGTTCTGCAAATAGAGCTGCAGAAGTTGTGGTTTTATTATCCCAGGAATAATAAAACCACAGATCGTTTATCTTTGTCTGCTCCAGTCAGATCAGTGAGGTCAGAAAATCAGCTTTTGTTGAACGAGACTAGGCCTTTGCTTTCTCCTCTCCAAAACTGTGGAATAGTTTATCTCTGTACATTAGAGCGGCTTCTTCATCGGAGGTTTGCAAATCTAGTCTAAACCCCTTTGACTTTTTTAAAAACATATTATTTTGCTGTGCATGTGAAGCACTTCAGACAGCTGGTGTTGTTTCAAATGTGCTATACAAATAACATTGACATTGACAAAATAAAAACTAAACCACACATTTTTTAGACAAAAATAATGTGTAGTGTACCACAAACTGTTACTGAGCTAGAGGAGTTTATTTTTCATTGTGAGTGAATGAGAGCCAAAGAGAGCTAAAGAGCTACACTTTGTCCATGAGCACTTCCCTATGCTTCATTGAGCTAGTAGGTTTGTCCATCTATGTCTATGAAGCTGGAGCGGCCCATCCCCAATCTGTGTTGTTTGAAATCTCATTATATAAATCTCTTATATATTTCCTTGTTGTATTGTCAAACCAAACCACTCCATCTTTGAACATTCCCTGGAGCTGCTCCTTCATCGCAGGGTTCTATCGAGACCTCAGGATTCACTCAAAGTTTGTAAATTAGGAGTGGACCGACCGAGGGCTGACGTCATCATAGTATTTGCCAAATGCGGTAGAGGCCGTTTGGAACATAAGCAAGCAGTTGCCAATTTCCTTATCTGGGAATTTGTTTCGACAGCGTTAGCTTTGTGCCGTAACAGTTGCAGATGTGTTGCTATGGCGGTTGCTAAGGCAAGCTGGAGGATAAGGTCAGTCCTTATATGGCTCATTTCCAGACTATAAACTGCAGCTGTTTTCCTGCAGGGCGACAGTAGCTCAGTTGGTAGAGCATTGGCCTTCAGGCCTGAAGGTCGTGGGTTCAATTCCCACCTCTACACCTTCTCCACCGACTCCCACTGATGACTGCTGCCGTTGTGTCCTTGATCAAGGCTATGCTCACACTCAGAGAGCAGCCGTCCTCCTGTGGACTCACCACCTGCAGAGGGTCAGTGAGGGGCTGGTGCTATGAGACTTGGGTGGCATCTCTGATTGCCACCCCCCTGACCCAGAAATGGATTAAAGGGTAGAAAATGGATGGAGATGGATGGATGTTTTCCTGCATTTGAAGGCTGCGGCTTATAGTGAGGTGCGGTTTGATTTTGATTTTTTTTCAGGGGCAGTAGACCAACAGAGTTGATGAGTTGTACACAGAGGTCCAATTAAATTGTAAGATTAATTACAGTTCTCACTAATAATATCTTTGTGTAAACATCTCCATATAACAAATAGTTTTTTGGTTCTTTCTAAAGACATGAGAGTGAAGTCGGACCAGTAGATGTTGTGGGACAGGTGTAGCTTATGATCCAGTGCGACTTGTACAACAACAAAATTCAAATTCTTTCTAAAAATTAGGGCCTGCGGCTTATAATCAGGTGCGGGTTATAGTCCGGAAAATACGGTAGATAATATCAAAATTTTAAAAACCCGGATCTACACCTCAAAAGCAAGCCTGCAGATGTGTTGGAGGTATTGTGGTGCTGCTGATACAAATCAAACACACATCTGCTGGAGCTGCCAGCAGATCAAAAACGATTTGAGAAATGTTGAAGTAAGTATAAAAGATCATTAGTTGGTCAAAATATTGTTATCGGCTGCAAGGAAGACCAGAGCAAGGAGATGAGTTCAACCTGAGCCGCCCAGCCGGACTGAGTGGACAGACATTTTTATCATGGAGCAGATGACCTTCGCTCTCCGACTGAATCAGGACAAATTTGAGGGAAAATAGGACAAATTTGAGGGAAAATAGGACAAATTTGTACGTTTTGCAAATCTATATTATGACTATGACATTGGAATATTTGCTAGAACTGGCAG